ATACAATATTTGTCCTTCTGTGACTGACTAAATTCACTCAGCATAATGTCCTCCAGATTTCTCCATGTTATGTTTCACAGCTTCATCGTTGTTCTTTATTGTTGTGTAGTATTCCATTGTGTGAATATACCATAATTTGTTTATCCATTCGTCCGTCGATGGGCACCTAGGTTGTTTCCATCTTTTTGCTATCGTGAACAGGGCTGCAATGAACATGGGTGTGCATATATCTATTCGTGTGATGCTTCTTATTTCTCTAGGATATATTCCTCTACGCTTTTCTTGTGTGGAGTGAGAAGTCGACCTAAATGACCTCTAATATGACCCTTCTACCTAAAGACTATGATCCGTGTTAGAGTTCCTTTAAGCCCCTACTGAAGTCTCACTGTCTCAATGTTCTTCCTGACAATAACACCCCACAGTGATTGTTCTCTTCTCCGAGCTCTTCCCTCCCCTACTCTTCACTCTAGTATTTAACTTTGTATATATATGTATCTCTCCAAGACTTGGAATTCCTTTGAGGGTAAAGAACAGAGCTTTGCACATAGTAGCACTCAAATATTTGTTTCAATTTAGTAACATGAAGTTTCTCTTTTGATTACATATTGTCTTGGAAGTGGACTGTAAGGCAAGTATTGTGGTTTATATTTATTTGTATTCCCTGGAGCCCCGGTGGCATAATGGTTAAGAGCTCAGCTGCTAACCAAAAGGTCAGCAGTTCAACTCCACCAGCTGCTCCTTGGAAACCCTATGGGGCAGTTATACTCTGTCCTATAGGGTGACTATGAGTTGGAACTAACTCGACGGCACCTAACAACAACAATATAGCACCTAGTAGGAGTCCCTGGGTGGTACAAATGACTAATGTGCTCAGCTGCTAACTGAAATGCTGGAGGTTTGAGTCCTCCCAGAGGTGCCTTGGAAGAAAGGCCTGGAGATCTACCTCTGAAAAATCAACTACTGAAAATCCTGTGGAGACATAGAGGCTGGATGAACCCCCGCCCCCCGCCCCCGCCAAAAAAAAAAAAAACAAAAAACAAAAAAAACAACTATTGCCCTAAGATAATCTTTAAACTTTAAACCACACACACACAAAACAAAACAAAAACCTGAAGTCTTCTTAAAACCAAAAAATACTTTAGCTTAACTAGTAAAGAATGTCTACCTTGAGCTCTATGCTCTTTTACGGCCTATCTATATGGGATCAAATTGATAACAGCCACTTGAAAGATTAGATAGGAACCTTAGGAGGCACTGAGTTTATCTTAATGGGGGAGGAACAACTCAGAAAAGGAGGGTGAGAATGGTTGCACAACTCAAAGAATGTTATCAATGTCACTGAATTACACATGTAGAAACTTGAATTGGTGTATGTATTTCCTGTGTGTATTCTCAACAGCAACAATAACAAAAATAAATTATTAAAAAAAAAAAAAGATTACAGCCAAGAAAACTCTACATGGGGTTGCCATGAGTTTAGGGCTGACTCCATGGCAGCTAACAACAACAATCACGACTAAGCATGGGGAAAAAACTGGAAAAAGTACCAAATTACTAATATTTTAAATTTCCTTTATTTTGTTACATTAATATTAAAAACAGTTCTACTCTGATACACATAGGGGTCGCCATGAGCTGGAACTGATTTGATGACAACTGGTAATGGTATTGGTATAGCACCTAGTAGATACTTGATAGGAGCCCTGGTGGCGCAGTGGTTAAAGTGCTCAGCTGCAAACTGAAAAGTCAGCGCCTGGAACCCACTAGCCGCTCCTCAGGAGAAAAGACCTGGTGATCTGTTCCCATAAAGATTACAGCCTGGGAAACCCTATGGGGTCAGTTCCACTCTGTCCTGTGAGGTGCTATGAGTCGGAATCAACTCGATGGCACTCAACAACAGGTGTTTGATAAACGTTGCTTTGAATGGGTGGAACCAGAAGTGGACATTCAGCCCAAGAGACGTGGACAAAGGAATGAGAATGAAGGTGAAAGAGGCAAAAGGTCAAAGAATGCCTCTCTTTTGGGTAAGAATGTGGACATTCTACTTCCTGCAATGAAAAAATGTGTTCAGGAAATATTTCCATAGTAAACCTGTTTATGCTTAATACAGTTGCAATAAAATCACTGTAAAGTCGAAACTAGAAATAGTAAAGGTGTTGAATATGAGTTTCAATTAAAAATGATTTAACAATATAAATATTAGCAGTAGGCTGGTGTATCAACATTTGTTGTTGTTAGTTGTCATGGAGTCAGCTCCAGCTCATGGCAACCTTATGTGTAAACAGAACATTGCCTGGTCCTGTGCCATGTTCATGATCTTTGATATACTTGAGCCCATTGTTGTGGCCACTGTGCCAATCCATCTCTTGGAAGGTTTCCCTTGTTTTTGCTGACCCTCTACTTGACTAAACATGATGTCCTTTTCTAGCAATTGGTCTTCCCTGATGACTTGTCCAAAGTAAGCAAGATAAAGTTTCCCCACCTTTGCTTCAAAGGAGCATTCCGGTTTTACTTCTAGGTTGGGTGGTTTGTTCTTCTGGCAGTCCATGGTATATTCAGAATTCTTCGCCAAGACTACAATTCAAATGCATCAATTCTCCTTCTGTTTTCTTTTTTCATGGTCCAGCTTTCGAACGCAATAAGAAGTGACTGAAAAGACCATGGCTTGGGTCAGGCACACCTTAGTCATCGAAGTGACATCTGTGCTTTTTAGAACTTTAAAAAGGTCTTTTGCAGATTTGCACAAACAGTATGATGTTTGATTTCTTGACTGCTGCTTCCGTGGGTGTTGACTGTTCATCCAAGTAGAGTGAAATCCTTGGTAATAACATAGTTTACAGAAAAAGGGAGTCTTAACCTCCAACTGTTAGAGTGAGAAGACAAATAATTCTGAAAAACAGGGTCTTCCTGATGGATCAAACGTGTAAAAGATATATCCAGTCACCCACAGAGATGTTTATGGAGCAACCGTAGGTCAGTGTGTATTATCTCGGTGTGTTTTATGCACAGCTGTTTAAAGTTCTTCTCGCGATGTTATTCTGCTTTTCCTGCTTTTGAGTTGAGCGCCCCCTTCCGCTGTCTTTTCCCTTTTCTATTACTTTCCGCCTATGCAACCCAACTCTCAAAGCCTGTGGATGCTGCGGGTGGGGTCCACGGAGGAACACGGTTTCGGGGTGGCGTTTCCTGGTCCCCTCCGTCCCCCCATCAGTGTGTTCTTCATTCGCTAAGGGACGGGACCAAGGTTTCTGCAGCATCCAGCAATTTACATTAAAACAAACAACAAAAAGCAAAATCCAGCCCCTCTCCCGCGACTCCCAAAGTACAACTACTTTCCCTACTTGCTTTGAGGTATCCCTCAAGTCTTCCAGCTCCAATTCAGAACGCAGCCAGTCAGAAAGTCCCTACTTCAGGCGCACCGCCCAATCAGAGTGCCCTCACCTGCCGACGGTGTGGAATTCGTCTCCTTACGAGATAGTCTCCTGAGCCAATCAGAGGAAGCTACAGCTTGGACCGGCGCCGATTCGGCCCCGGGGGGTGGGTAGTGGGAGGAGTCGCACCTGGCTGCGGTAAATCACTCAACGGAGCGGCAGCTCCCTTCACCAGTCAGAATTGTAGGGGCGGGGCACCGACCAATCGGACGGGGCGGGCAGGGCCGGGAGGGGCTCAACCTGGCCGCTGGAGTTTAGTGCGGGCGCGGCAGTTCGTGAAGCGTTGTCTCTTCTTAGGGCTGCGGCGGCGGCTAGCGTATCGGAATCCTGTTCGTGATGGCGACAAAAGCGAGAGTCGAGAGGAAACAGTTGCTTCTCTTCACGCTGGCGATCCTGTGTAAGTTCCTGGAGTTTTGGGAGGAATCATCGGTGGGTCGGGTCAGAAGTTGGAGGAAGCGCTCCCCACGCCCCTTGCTCGAGGGAGGGGAGGAGTTCGGAAACCTTCCTGCCTCCCCCTTGTCCTCTTTTCCACCCCTGGCTCGTCCCTCTTCTGTCCCCTCCCCCGCACCCTGGTGAGTGGCTCCCCTCCCCCACACTGGTGAGATGTGACCCCTCCCCTTAGACCCACTAGGAGGGAGCTGCTCCTCCGCAGGCAAGCCAGCGGGGGCTTCCTACCCTTTCAGTCCTCACAAACTGGTGAGAACCGGTGGGCGAGGGTCCTTCCCTTATACATCTACCTAACCATCCTCCTCCACACGCTCCTGGGAAGGGCCGTCCTGTCCCTCCTAAAACGCACCCAATATCCACAAACGACTCAAGAGAAGCCTCTCTCCTCTCCCCTTTGACTTCCTTGGCTCCTGGGTGCTCTGCTTCTTAAGGGCCCTCAGAGAAAATCTAATGGAGATGGAGTGGGATGGAAGTCTCTTCTCTGGCTGTTGCTGAAGGGGTCTCTAGCGTCCCTGGATAGCTTTACCAGAGGGTCGGGTTGCATTGGTTGTTCTGGGAACAGTGTCTGGGTGCAGAGTCTGAAAAGGTGCTAACATTGAATCCGAAGCTAACCTTGAACCCAGAGCACATCATTTACAGCTCCTTTCTAGAATAACAACCTCCGGAGTCCTTAATAAATACTGTTGACTGAGTGACTATTCCCAGGGGGAGGAGATGTCTGCTAGTTGGCTGAATTCTCCTCAGAGCCAAAACTCTACCCTCCCCCTGGCTGTGTACTAAGAGTTTTTGTTTTCTTTGTAAACTCTCTTTCCTCTGGAACAATGTGAGTGAGACTCACTTGCGGGGGTATGCTTCTGTCTGTCATGTGTTTATGTGGGTCTGAGTGCAGTCGGCTGGGTTGCGCTTAGTCAGCCTGTGTCAACACCTGGACGTGTATATGTCTGATTCCCAAGTGTGTGTGCACATGCTTGTGTGGAGTTGTGTCAGTATGTGTTCTGTAAGAGTCTCTGTATTTTTTCCCTGAAGTTCATCTTTTCAGAAGTGTTAAAGAAATCAACGATTACAGCTAGTATCAATGGTTAAAAGGCAATTCATTTTGCCCAGTTGTTTTGAAGGTGGAAATAGATCCTCTGCCCTCAAACAGATGATTTGACCACTCCTTTATCAGCCACTCCTTGGAAACCCTATGGGGGCAGTTCTGCTCTGTCCTGTAGGGTCGCTTTGAGTTGGAAACTTGACGGCAGTGGGTGTTTTTTTTTTGTTTGTTTGGTTTGTCCCTTAACACAAAAACATAAACTCTTGGGGTGGACTGGGCTAGATGCAAGTCTAATCTTCCCCCTGTTGTACAGATGAGGAAGGAAATAGGTCCAGAGAGAGGAAATGACTTTTCTAGGTTGACAAGGAGGGTCGTGGTGGACTGGGAATCAAATCACAGTGTCCTGACTCCCCTCTCCTTTTTCGACCCCTGGATTCAGGACCTCTGGTGATTTCAAAGTCAGTTAGGCATGCTGCTCCAGAATCCATTGTCTTACTTACATTTTCTATTTTTCTTTTTCACTAGGTTCTTCCTTCTCTCATGTCTCCCTTTCATTCTACTCTTCATTTCCCTTTAATTTCTTTTCTCCTACCCCCCGCCTGTTCATTTCTGCCTATGTCTTAGAACTGCCACTTTCACCCATGGTCAGTTTTTGGTTCTGTGTGTGGTACTCTGCGCTAAAGACTTTGCCACCCCTTGTACTGTACCAGTACTTCCCCCCAGCCCCTAAACTGACAAGTCTCTTTTTCTGAGTCAGTGTGTCAATTTGGGACAGTATTTGTCAGTGACAGTATGTCAGACTTGTAAGTTTCTGAACGCTGCTTCTCTCCCTTCTTCCTTTCCTTCCTCTCCCCCTAATTTTCTGTATTATTTGTGATAAACCCATAACAATCACTTCCTGGCACTCAAAGTGTTGTGTGATATCATCATTCTGAGCTTCGGGATGTCCTCTAGTTTGTTCTGTGGGTGCTTGAGATGATACATTAGCTTGGCAGGACAGTGGGTCCTAGAAAGCAATAAGTTCAGGGAATTTGGTTAGTGCAAAAGAGCCTACAAATAGGAGCCAACCCGTCCCACTTGGGTTCTGGCTTGGTTCTGTTTCTGCCTCTGCTTTGTGATCTTAGGCTAGTAGCTTAACTGTATGTCTTTGGCCTCAGTCTTTTCATCTATAAAACAAGAGTAATTATAGCTCTCCTACCCTTGACATGGAGATCAACTGAGGTAATAGCTACATTACGTATATTGAAGGGTTTATTGTTGGACGGCTATCATCCCCGAATCTAGCCCTTCAGATTCTGTAAGGAAGAAAGAATGCTATTCTCAGTAGAGTAGATGAAAGAAAGCAAGGAGAAGTCCTGCTGCATCCCAGAGGGCAAGAGTCAGAAAGTCGGGCTCTTTTTTGGGCTTCTAGTCTAATCTCTGTGCCTGGGATATCTGAGCGTATGCTGTCCCCTGCTCCCGCCAGGCTGCTCCTCACTGTGGGCTCTGCCATCAGAAGAGAGGTCAGGATAGGATGGAACAAGTCAACTAAAGGCCCAGCCCCAGCCTGGGAACAGTGGAGAGGAAGGCCTGCTGGGGCAGAGATCTGGAAGCTAGGCACTGGGCAAGTTAATCTGGTGACCCAGCATGCCGGTCTCCCTTTCCCTAGCGAGCCTGTACTTAGAAAAGGCTCTAGACCTCTCCCAGGCCGGGAGAGGATTTTCTGCCAAGCACACTGGTGTGTGGATAGAACAACTTTTAGTGTAACCACAGGGAGAAAAGGAAGCCTGGGTTGGAACCCTGACTTTTGCGCCCGGTCGTCGTTAACCCCCCCACCCCCGACGTTCCTGGAGGGAGGGGTTGCTGCCCTGTGCTGCGTCAGTCTGTGAGTCCTGGAGTTTCCTAATGATGTTTCTGGCTCGGCATAGCCAAGACCTTCTTAGCTTTGTTATTCTGTGACCTGTTTACTCTTCTGGTGCGAATTTAAGCTCAAAGCCGAGGCTTTCCCTAGAGCTGCAGGGATAGGGCTGGCTCACTTCCTGACGTAACTCGAGGGAAGGTAGAGTGGTGCGTCACTCCTCCTTCCTCTCCCTCTACTCCCTTTGTACTCCCAGGAAAGAATTGTTCCCTCGAAACTGGAAACTAATGACAGGCGACCACTGGAATCAGGAAATGAGTGCTCCTGGAATTCCAGTACCTTGTTCTTTCCCTCTTGGTTCCAGGATGCTTTCACTTTATGTTATTTCTCTTCAGTTGTTTTTGTACTCAGAGCTTAGTCTGGGGTCTCCAGCCTAATTCTGCTTTGAGATAGAGCTGCTTTGATTTTTAAAAAAATATTTATTTAGAATAGGTTGATAGATTCATGTGGTTCAGGAATCAAAATAATATTAAAGAGGTGGGTTGTCTTATTCCCACTCATTCCTGCCCAGTTCCTGTTCACCTTGTGACTCCCATAATTTCCTAGGTATCTTTCCATTGTTTTGTTATACAGATACAAGGGTATATAAATATTCTCTTTTGTCTCCTTTCTTACACAGAAAGGAGCCCTGGTGGCACAGTAGTTAAAGCATCTGGCTGCTAACCAAAAGGTGGGAGGTTCAAACCCACCAGCTGTTCTGCAGTATAAAGATGAGGCAGTCTGCTTCTGTAAAGATTACAGCCTTGGAAACCTCATGAGACAGTTCTACTCTGTCCTATAGGGTCGCTGTGAGTTGGAATCAACTCAATGACAGTGGTTTGGTCTTACACAAAAGGAGGCATACTGTATACACCATAGAGAGCCCTGGTGGTGCAGTGGTTAAGCGCTTGGTTGCAAAATGAAAGATTGGTGGTTCGAACCCACCAGCCACTCTGCAGGAGAAAGATGTGGCGGTCTGCTTCCTTAAAGATTTATAGCCTTGGAAACCCTGCGGGGCAGTTCTGCTCTCTCCTGTAGGGTCACTCTGAGTTGAAATTGACTCGATGGCAATGGGTTTATATACACTATACTGCATTTTGCTTTTTTTGTGTAACAATATATCCTGGAGATTCTCGGTGTTGTGGCTTTGGCCATTAGAATCCCTCCCCCACCTCACCTCCCACACAAGGGGTACCTGCCCTTGTTCTTTGGACACAAAAGTGGCTGACACCCCCTTCTTCCCAAAATAGATTTAAACGCTGTACACATTTTACTTGACAGATTATAAAATCATGGGGCTTCTTCTTCTTAGCTGTTAGCACTGAGGAGAGACCCTGGGGATCTCTAGAACTCAGACCTGTTTCCTTTTCAGAGGTTCAGGAAAGAGCTGGATGACCACTTGTCACATGTGTTGTGGAAAGTTTCAGTGGTGTGAGGAGGGGGTTGTGGGAGGCAGAACGAGTGGACACATACTGGGGTTTTCCAGGCATTGAAAACCCAGAGTTCATCTGCCTGGGACTGCCTGATAAGCACGGTTTCTGTCTAAAGTCCGGCTTGTGTCATTTGTTACTCAGTGGGGGAATGGGGCAGGAGGAAGCAGCTGTCTGGCAAGGACGTTTGATGCCAGGCCGCTGGAGTGAGCCCTAGGCAGTTCCCTGGGCAATAATGCTTGGACCAGCAGGCCTACTTTCCTTGTAATGGCGGTGTTAGGGGAGATGGAGGGGGGAGGGGAGAAGGAGCTGAGCAGGTAGAACTGGAAAGTCTGACAGCAGGAGGGAGCGTTGGAGTGAAAGCTCCCCCTGTCTTGCGCTGCCGTTACCACTTTCTGCCTTCCTCTGAGGGCCTTGTCAGCTGATCGATGTCACCGGAAGTGCAGCCAAGGTTGGCTGTTTAGACGCAGCTCAGCCTGTTGTCAGGGTCACCAAGCCTTCGTTTTGCCCGCGCATTCCTTATCTGTCCCACCCAGCTTCCGGAAAAGGCCTGCCAGCTTGTAGACTTTTCCTGGCCCAGGGGTGCCTCCTGATCTATCTTCGTTGGG